TTTTTGCTACAGCTGGCGTGTCGAGAAGAATCAAGGTCTTTGACTTTTCATCAGTAAGTATACCTTTCGTGATCTTAAAAAATCCTCCCATTGTTAATGGAAATTTCTAGCTGGTAGTTTTTCTTTTTGAATCTGCTGTGGCTGATTTACTACTTCACATTTGGTAGATTATTTTTCCATTTTATTCGACAATGTTGGAATATTCTCAAGTGCCGTCAAGTAAAGCTGGATTACAGCTTCATGTCCCTTTCCCACGTTGGTTTTTATTTTTTTTGAAAACGTTGGCTTAATGAGATGTTTAAATAAACTTTCTCAAAAGAGAATTTAACTTCTCAAAAAATAGTAAGATGTTTAAATAGAATAGTGTCATTCTGATAAAAGTCAGTATGATACCGCTCTTTTACCTCAACAGTTTGAGATGATTTAAATACTTAGTATTCTGAGAGCATTTTCTTGTACTACTATTTCTCTATTATGTATAAATCGGATATGATATGTTCTCATTTTTAGGTGGTAAATGAACCAGCTGATGCACAATGTCCTGTTGTTGAAATATCTTCACGATCCAAGCTTAGTTGTCTGAGCTGGAACAAGTACGCAAAGAACCACATTGCGAGCAGTGACTATGAAGGCATAGTAACCATTTGGGATGTGACCAGTCGTCAGGTAGTATCTGTTTTCAGGATTTTTATCTTTGATCATAGGGCATGTTTGAAATCTCTGATAACATTATTATATATTTTCTTGCTCAGAGTGTGATGGAGTATGAGGAGCATGAAATACGAGCATGGAGTGTTGCTTTCTCTCATACTGATCCTTCTATGCTTGTGTCTGGCAGTGATGATTGCAAGGTAAAAAGAACTTCATCATTTCTCTTTTTGCTTTTCATGGTCTTCTCTAATATATCGCTAGATTGACTACTGTAAGAGCGTACGTAAAGTTGACGAAATTGACAAATAGAGCAAATAGGGGAGTATGTCATTCAGCTTTATGGATATCAAATTCCTGGAAGTTGCTAATAGATTATTTTGCAAACGCTTGTCTTAATTATGCAAACCTTTTTGAGCTACAAACATCATTTTGTTACACCTTATGCAGTTGGGTTTACCATCAACAAATCAGAAGAGTGAGATGCAGCAGGCAACAAGGGCCATAATTCGTCTTATTTTGGATTTTTCATTCCTTTGAATTCTTTTTCGTATTTTAGGAATTTGCTAAAGTTCTGGTTCAGAAGTAGGAATAAAAGTTTGAGAGATTCTTTCAGTTTCTCCTATTGGATTGATAACAACTATATTCACTTTTGTTAGAATCGGAAAATCGGGTAGTGCGGAATTTAGTCAAGCAACGTTATAATGACAATAACAAAGACAATTCAAGTTGATAATAACGACAATTAAAGAAGATAAAGAAGACACAAATTTAACGTGGTTCGGTCAAGGTGACCTACGTCCACAAGCGGAGAGGAGCAATTTTACTATTCCAACAAGAGTACAAAAGAGAGTACAAAATTAGAGTAAATACTCTAATTAGTCCCAAATACCCCAAGAGAATAACCTCACAAGATCACTCCAAAGAAAGGGTTCACACAAGTGTTTCTCAACACTCACTCTCTTACAAAATACTCTATAATGAAATAAAGGAGGAGAAAGAAAGACAAGAGTGAAAAACTCTTGAATTGGTGTGTTTTCAAATGAGGAGAAGCTCCTCTATTTATAGCAAGAAATCCTTAACCTAATAGTGGATGTTATGTAATAGCAAATGTCATGAAAACTTGGTCCACAAATTGTGCTATAGTAGATATTATGTCATGGCAAATATCATGAAAACTTGGCCCCCACTTGAAAATAAGCCAAATTAATGGCCATATTACTACTTTCAAGTTTGAGAGGTAGTTCCTCAGATTGGGTTGATAATAACTATCCTCATTGATGGTTTACTTTTCTGGTCTGATTAGTCCCAGAGTCTAAAAATATATATTTGCAAAATCATATGCTGGTTATGTATGAACTGGTAAGTGTGAGGCCGCTTCTGTATGTTATGTGAATCACGCCCCATGTATGGTTCAACGACAGAGAGCAAAATGTACTCACTAACTGCAACAAACAAAACATTGTTTAAAAGGATTTCAAATGTGTGAAATATCATAGCAAGCTAACTCTAATTTCTCAACAGGTCAAAGTTTGGTGCATGAAGCAGGAGGCAAGTGTTATTAGCATTGACATGAAAGCAAACATTTGCTCTGTGAAATACAATCCTCAATCCAGCTTTCATATAGCTGTAAGCCACACTTCCTCTTGAATCAATGCATCAAATTATGCTAAATCTCGTACGTTGTTGAACTTTTACACCAAGGCATGAGCTTGTTTCTTGCAGGTGGGTTCTGCTGATAATCATATCCATTATTATGACTTGAGAAATATTAAGCAGCCGCTGCATATTTTCAGTGGACACCATAAAACTGTTTCATATGTGAAATTTGTATCCAACAATGTGCTGGCGTCTGCATCAACGGATGGTACATTGCGTTTGTGGGATGTCAAGGAGAACATTCCAGTAAGTTATCACACTGATTCGTTAGTTTTGTTTCACTATGTGTGTTCCTCAATGTGAATACTTGAGATGTTAATTACATATTCCACTGTTTTAAAATTAATTCCTGAAAACCAAGCAAACTAGGAAAAATCCAATTGAAAACCAATCACCAGTCAGGGATTAACATTAAAATTAGAAGAGAGAAAAGGAGGGAGGGAGGGAGAGGGGGGATAGTTTGCTAAATCTCGGTGTTCTTTTTAAATGTGCATGCTGCATGTGTGTATGTAAGCTGTTTCTTTGTTCAAAAGGAATAGCTACTTCCACAAAGTGCCATATGCTGGTTCATGCATATACTTTAAGGAATTTGTATTGTAAATCCGCAAAATTGTCTAAACTTTAACTTGCCATTTTTTTTTTTACGTTTTTTTTTTTCCTTTCAGCTGCGAACTTTTAGAGGACATACAAATGAGAAGAACTTTGTGGGTCTTGTAGTAAACAGCCAATACATTGCCTGTGGCAGTGAAACAAATGAAGTGTTTGTCTATCACAAGGTATTTCTAATACTATAGTAGAAATTAGAAAACCTGGTTATTTCTAATATAGTAGATAATAGGATTCAATCATTCTCTTTGATCTTATGTTGGATTTATGCACAGGCGATTTCTAAGCCAGCAGCAAGCCACAAATTTGATTCTGACCAGAATGATCCAGATGAGGACATGGGATCACATTTCATCAGTTCTGTTTGTTGGAAGCGCGAGAGCCGAACCATTTTAACAGCAAATAGTCAAGGGATCGTACAAGTGCTTGTTCTTACTGCTTGATGAGTAAAAGTGGAACGATTAAAAGATAAAAGAATGACGAAGGGACTTCTTATGAAGGAATAGAGGTACCATGCCCCTGCACCAATTCTCCATTGTATATGTGTGACCGGATTATTAGGGTAACTAATAAAGCTTGGTTTTTTATCTTTGTTGTTCCTTTTAAACCAATTTGATTGATGGGGATGGGGATGTAGCTCAAAGGGTGTTTGATTATACGGTACTTAGTGTACTTTTATTGCAGCCAGCATCATGTTTATGGTACCAGTCTGAAGTTCAAGTGCAGCAGTTCAGAGACAAAGATTGTTTCTTCAAACTTTATTGGAATGTCTAAAAAACATAAAATCTTCATCTTGAAAGTGCATCGGTATGTGACATTTCCTCACCTCAGAAATAGAAGTAGTAGTCAATCCAATAGGTTGAAAGTTAACAAAATATGTTTCACATTTCATTTTCACATTTAAAATATTTTTCGTTAACTCAGAATTAACTAAAAAGTAAATAAAAATAAGAGAAAAAAACAACAACTAAAATTGAAAAATCGAGGAAGGAAAAAGGGAAAAATATCAAGATGTAGACGAGCAACAATCGAATCGTCAATCTTAATATATGACGACCGAAACGATATCTCGCCGATATTACTTTGCCTCTTGTAAATTTGTATATAAATGATGAAACACACCAAAAATGCTTGTTCATCATTCGATCAGAAGGAGGCGTAAAAACACAGATATTGTTTCAAATAATAAAACCAATAGGTAAAAATAGCATTTCTATAAAGTCTATAGCACACAGCTGCGATGGAGTTAGCACCATTTGTTAGATAGATCTGCTCCACAGAAGTGTGAGTATGGGGAAAGCAATTAGGCAATTTATAGAGATGCCAAACCCTAGAAAACTCTTCAGAATTGTATTTACAGTCTGATTTCGTGGGCTTCAGCCTGTTTCTATCAATCAGCTAGGATTAAGTGCAGCAATACTATTTAAAATGTAACCAATATTTGAAGTATTTAAATTTTAGTCGTAACAACGGCACATGACTATTCTTCTTCTTCTTCTCCTCCCTATTTTCCCTTTTTAGTAACTTCAACCTTCTTCTAGAGGATTCTCTGTAATATTCTGCATGTTAATGCTTGCTTCATCGTTCGAATCATCAAAGAATATTGTCTACATAAGAATTATTAATTAGTACAATAGGTTGTAAGCTTATGCAAGGGGAGCAAAACACACTAGGTAAATGAATTCGTACTACTATTTCATTATTAGATTGTTTTTAAATTTTCTAACAAGAAATAGATTCTCACGTACTCCCACAAAAGTGTTTACCTGTAAAACGGTACAATTGAATTTGTAACGTGGTTTATAGACAAGTGAATCAATTTGATCCCAAAATGATAAATAAATTAAGTAAAATGCAAGGCTTAGCGTTGAAATCGAAATAAGGTATCAAATAACTTGGTTCCGGGAGCAGAACTTTTGAATGCATTAATAAGACTATCAATAGACTAGAAATAAAATATTATTGAGCTTTAGAATAATGTGTAGCATAAATTTGTCAGGAAATTCGTGTCCCCTACAATAGTTGTTGAAGTCATTATTTATAGATGCACCTAGGGAATAAGGTCTTAGGATCAAGCTCCTCTAAATGATAATTATGGGGGTCATTGATGTGTAACGGCAGGCTATGAATGCCAAATTCTCTATAACGGATTGTGTATTTAGTATTGAAGAATATTCTTCATTGAATGTCATCGGGTGGCAAACATTCATTTGTCTTCATTAGCAATATTCCCTTCGGAGTCTTCCTGGTGCCAACCGAGGCTGCTGTCCCCGGTCTTGGTTTCTACTTACCTCGATTTCCGTATGTCTCAGGTTCCACGTGTCGCTCTATTATTTGAGTATTTAATATGAACTGATTTTACCCTATACAGATAGCCCCATTGCTTTCCGGTTGCACATCTTTATGTCATCGGGAAGTTGGTGAAGATACCTTTCCTGGCAGAAAATTTTCTGATCACTTCTGAAAAGTTTCTGACGCTTGATTAGACACACGTCTCTCCGTATTTAATGCCCCGAATATGCGTCACTCCACAATTTAGCAATACTTTCGCCAGTTCTCGAGGTAATCATGGCCACGATTTTAGCCGCCTATTCCTTTACTTATACGCCTCATTCTTCTTCTTTTACACTTCACAGTCTTTCAAACTCTCTCAACTTCTTCGCACTCAACTTTCCCTTGCTTTCACTCATCTTTAATCTTCTTCTTCAAAGAACTTTCATTACCTTCTGCTAACTATGGCCTCCTCCTCCAAGAACTCAAGTTCTCTAAAAAACAAAGAAAGCACTGATGATGCTTCCCCTCCTACAGTGAGCACCATCATTCTCAGGAGGCTCAGTACAGCCAAAGGATTTTGAAGAGAATTTTCCTTCTGCAAACTCTCGTACACAGGTTGTTGGCGTGTACCATTCTTTCATCCGTCCTTCTAGCATTCCTAGTGTGAAGGAGGATTGTGGTTATTATGATCTGAACATCATCGCTCCCAATCTGGTGGAGCGAGTAACTTTCCCTAAGAAGGGTTTTACGTACATTTACACGTATCCTTCACTTTGGGCCCATTCTTATTGAGCAAGGGACTTGATCCCGTAATCATGGAGTTCTGCCACCAGTATCAAGTCTGCTTAGTACAAGTTAGTCCCTATATATGGTGGACGGTAGCCTGTCTACGGCGGTTATTCCAGGAGATGAGGGAAGAGCTCTTCTTGGCTCGCATGATGAACCTCTACTCCCCCATGATTTTCCGTGGGGGAGTGATAAACTTTAGCAAAAATTGCCACCATGCTTTGTTCACCAGCATGGATGATGACAATGATCATAGATGGATGGAGCGGTTCGTTGTTGTTGCCACTATGGATATCATCCCGTCCACAACTCCATCTTTCTATGAGTCATGGATTCGTACATGTAAGTTCAACATCTATCTTTTCTATGATAAAAGGTTGGTTCATATTGTTACTGATCCTTCTCGTTTCATTATTTCAGCAACTCGGTGGACACCACCAAGGCTTGAAGGCTTGGATCGGTGGTTTAGAATATTCTAGACATTACCATGCCTGAACCC